GCTGAAGCCCCATCCCATTACGACCACTGAGAAACCTCAGATCTACAGGCAGGAGATATGAATCACACCAAAACAAGACAGGGATTCTAAATCACCCAGCTTTGTATCCAAATTCTCTTTGCAGATGAGGGACTTGTGAAAAAGGGCATAAATTATGCCAGTGAAAAAGGTCTTTGATCTCTGCTCTAGCACTCTAATCAAGCATTTGGCATTTCTTTCTCTCTCACTTTATTAGGGAGACTGCTTTCTGGATGGTTGCCTGCTTACTGTTTACATCTCTACCCAGAGGTAAATATACTATAATACACATCTAGGAATTTCTGGAAGTATTTATATGTGAATACACAAGCTGGAAACTGAGAATCTTGGAACAAAAAAAATACATGTTTTCCTTCGAATGTGTTTCATCACAGTCCAAGGTTTGCAAGCATAGGTAATAACCTGCAGACAAACCTCTACATCTGAAAGAAGTGATTTCAAGGTTAAGGTGTTTCAGGCCCACAAATCTCTATATAGGTATATATATAGGTCTCTATATTTGGGGGTGTGTGTGTGTGTGTATATATATATATATATATATTTGGATATCCTGCCCAAATCCTTGAAAATACCCTGCCATTTCCATAACGTTAAGGATGACTTGGAATCTCAATCCTTTACAACCTCCAACCGCGTTGCATCTGTTGTTGTGTTCAAACTCATTAAGTTGCTGGGCTCACTACAGCCTTAATCAGGTAAGTGAAAGGGCTGGAGTCCAGCAGCAATCTCTCTTCCCGAATCTTTGCACATGCTCTGACAAGTTCCAGCAGAGTTGGGTTTCTGACATTATATAGATTAGATATGATCTTCCCTATGAAAGAGATACACTAGTATGTGCCAGTGAGGGAGTTTTCTACAAGCTGCAGGGACAACTCCCTGTAATTTCCTTATCTGAGGCATACATTCAACAATATTAAGGCCTCTGTGTGTGGTCAAGACTCTTCTGTTTGCCCAGAAGTGCCTCAGTTTTGCCAGGTGCTGTGGTGGTTCAGGAGGTTACACTTTATCTGGAACTAATCTCCTTCTCTCTTCTGGAAGCACAACTGACATTTCTAGGAAAAACTTTCACGTGTCTCTGCAGAGCAGTGTAAAAAGTCCTTTGCCACTCAAGATGTGCTCTTTTGGTAGCTGAGTGCACCTGCAGGCACACAGAGCCATCTAAGTGATTACCCTTTGATTCTTCTTTATTTTTTACCATTTTCCCCTTTCTGAAACAAGGGAATTTGAGTTCAGTGTTTCCGAGCAAGCAACCGAGGTTGCAAACAGTCCCCTACCCTCCCCAAAATACATTTGCACTTAGGTGAGACATGACCCTGTAAGGAATCACACAACACCACCTTGTCAGGGCAACACACTTCAGTTTGAGCTCATACGTACTCAGAGACACAAGAAATTCCCTGTTGTCTTGTTTCTAACACTGAAACATTTTCCTTCTTAAACCACTACTTCCACTATTAAACTTTGTCTACTGTCAGAATTGCACTAGTATCACCGGAGTGAACCTGAGAGGTACAGTCAAGAGTTTTCTACTTCCAGGCCCTTTTCCACAAGGCATAAACTCTAGGTCACCTACTGACATCCCAGATTCCTCCAGTACAAGCAATACCTAATCAATAAACAAAGATGATTACCGCAGATCACCTTGAGGGGGGCAAAGGAGGGAGGAGGAAAAGAGCCCAGTCTTTGTGAGCTTCCCTGCACCACACGTTGGTTACTGAAGCAGCAGTGTTTTCTCGTTATAGGAATCACAGATCAGTTAAATTAGCACACTCAGCTTCACAATGACAAGTCTTCAACATTTGGGCAACATTTAAAAGACACAGTCAAAAAAAAAAAATCAACAAAATAAACTCATCTCACTTTACATTTGAGTCTTACAACTGCAGGTGAAAGCTGTGTGCCAACACACATTTTTTACAAGGTACAGACCTGCACCTTCAAGGTGCAAAGCTTACCAGCTGGATCCGACAAGCACTGCTCAACCTGCTTCACACACCCCAGCAGCAGCTGCCACCATCCCTGCTTCAGTCTTTGGGCCAGATAGCTCCATGCCTCCTGGAGCATCAATAGCCTCAGAGACAGCATCACCGGTCTTCAGTATGGCTTTACTTTTCTTCCCAAGACTGGCTTCCATAAGAGCACTTCTTTGACTCGTACCCAGAAGTCTGCTCTTCCCCATCTACAAAAGATCTCATGCAGCTGTAGGCTCTATTAAATAACTTATTATAGCCAGATTTAAGTCACCTGTTGTTGTCCCAGGCAACTCCAGCAGTGCCTCCTTTTTTGCCTCCTCCTGCCCTGGTTGTACCAGCTGAAAGCAGCGTGGGGCAGGGTGGGTTGAACCTGGTGGGTCTTTGTAGAGTCGTCACAAGTGTTACAAGGTTGGTTCACCCTATCGTGCAGGAAAGGAACGGTTATGCTAGGCTCAGAGATGCTGGGCGCTGTTGTCCTCCACCTTTAGAAAAGGCAAATAGATGCACTTCTAAAACCAGTGTCACATTTAGAACGGACCGCAATCAGGAGATAGGACCAACGGTCTTTTTCCCTCTTTTGCTCATTAAGCAAATGCTTGTTGTCCATTTTTCTGAATAGAGCTAAAAGTTTTGTTGATTTCAGGATTATCTTTTCTTCATCCATGTGCATCACCATACGTTGCAAGCACGCTCTCTCCTAGTGGCATCCTGTGGACAGGACTGTTCCCACCAGAAGGCTCTCCTGGAGGCTCCCTTCTTCCAGGACTTACAGAACACCCGCAGCAGCCTCAGGCACACTCATCTCCCTGCCATGCTTAGCTAACCACGGTCAGCCATAACCGCAGCCTGCTTTCAGACCTGGCCTTGCCTCAGAGAGGCTCTGCAGAGCACGACCTTACTCATCTCCCCAGGCCCAGATGACTCGGGGACAGGTCTTGGGCTGCTCCCTCCTGTCCCTCCCTTGGCTGGTGGTGGCCCTCCAGGTGTGCTGGGTACCGCTGATGGCCCTGCCCAGCTGTGCCACCAACTGCAGGGCTGAGGCAGGCTCCCCGGGGACTGCAGGGTCATACATGCTGCAGCACTAAGGGAACACTAGAGCTGCTGAGCTTTATTATAAATAAAATAGGACCCTTGTTTGCACACTGTTGTAATTCAGTTTCCCCTTGAGAAGCAAAATCTGGTTGTCGACTGATACAGTCTGAAAATGGTTGAGCTCTCCACGCAGTAAGGGGAGTCTCCTTCCGCTGACAACCAGAAATAGCACTGGGGATATGTATTTTTTTCAGCTAAAAGTTTACATTGCTGGGAAAAGTTGGACTGGGATTTTCAGCTGAAAAATCTGAAAACCTAAGGAGAGCAGATGTTTGGTGACAAGTTATAAATGACAACACTTACTTGGCTCTGCGATGTAGCTTTCTGAATTATGCTTTTCCTTCTGCTTTTATGTCCGCCTGGATGGACACAATGTGACACCAAACAAGCCCCAAAACAGACACTGATTAATATGGAAAGAGAGGCCCAAGCGTGTAACAAGCTGAGCCCTGGCTGATGTCAGTAACTTCAAGGAGGAACCAGGACTTGCTTTGATCTTTAGCCTGATATATGCACTGAGCTGGTGCAGGCCTAGAACACAAGAAAGTGTGACCAAGAAGATTTATTTCTATATTTAGTGTGATTACTTACCTCTTATGCTTCACAGAACTTCAGCCATGAAAACAGATTGAGTTGTTCAGCGGTGAATTTTAGCTTTTCTTCTTGGCACAATTGCAGACTCAGGCTGCTTTTGTTGTGCTCCCTGCTGGGGATGAGTTTTCCATCTGAATTAATTAATCAGCATTTTAATTTATAAAATCATTTTATGAAACAGTTTTGATCAAAATATTAATTTAATCCCACATTCTGTGCTGAAGATGCCTAGTTGTCTATGCTTTATAAATGCATAGAAACCTTCTTCCTTACCCCAGTCTTCCCCTAGAAAATATAACACCACAATCTAGGAAGAGTTGTCCTACATGGTAGTAGCAGACTCCCCCATTTGTGCAAGCGTTAGTACACTTTCAACTAACTTGGAAGAATTTATAAAAATAATTAGTATCAAAGGTACTAAAGGAACAGTGTGTGTAAGTGAGATGCGTCTGGCTTCCTGCCCTGCCTGTCCGCCTGCCTGTCCACCAGCAGGCTACCCTCACCCTGGCTCTTTGGAATTGGTTGGTAAGGTTGGTTCCTGGAGTTGGTCCATAAGGTCGGTAACGTCTCTGCCCGACGTCCAGGCCTCCCATACAAAGCACCTGACTCCCCGAGGCCTCGGAAAAGTCATTTACCTAAAGTGGGAATGACAGATCTTCTTTCTGGGGTACTGGGAGGGTAACTACACCAAAGAGTATGAGAGGCCACAGGACAGGTGTTCGCAAGAGCTGTGAGCGCACCCAGACAGGCCAGCAGAAAAAGGCTCTGTTTCAGTCAGACCCTCTGCAGGACGTGGCAGGGGAAGGGAGATGGGGCCTCTAGCACTTTATTTACAAAGCGGGAGCCACAACCTGACAGGCGAGCAGTGGGAGCTGGGGGAGACCAAACTCATCCGGGACTTTTCTGTTGCCGATGTAACACCCTTCTCACACTTGCGTGGCTTGCTTGATGGTGTCTGCCCATTTTCAGTTCCCTGCATCCTCTTCTCCCCTTGTGAATCGACCGATTAATTAAAATAAAATCTGACACCGATCTCAAAGGCTGAGATGCCCAGAAACTGGGAGAAAAATCACCAGCTGAGGAGACAAGTTCAAGCAGCCCCCATGCTGACAAAGCTAACGCAACTTGCACATAGCAACATCTGTCCTGCCACACAGCTGGCTGGGCACTGAGCACCCAGGGCCCTCGGTCCTGGCACAGTACACGCTGCCTCCTGCCTGGCCAGGAGCATGAGGACACAGGCAGGGGATGGTGTCCCCATCTCTGCTGGGCACTGAGAAAGTTGTCTGTTTTTTATTCCAGGTCAACTGGACACAATGTGCCATGCATTTGTTGGAGAAACTGTCATTCTGCCTTGCACCACCACCTCACCTGGAGAGCTGACCCTTTCCAATTCAATGCTCTACTGGCAGATAGACTCTGTCGTAGTGCACTTTTTTCACGACGGGCAGGATTCGCTGAAATTCCAGGCCAAAGAGTACCATGGCAGAACTAGTCTTTTTTTGGACCAGATGAGGAATGGAAACTTTTCCTTAAAGCTCTCCAATGTCCAATTAAACGACACAGCTCTATACACATGCATCTACAAACAGACTGGGGATCATCCCAACAAAACACAGAAATCCCAAATTGAACTCATTGTATCAGGTAAGGTTTGATTTTTTAGTTCAGAGGGAGGGAGCTGAAGGCAGCATCTCTTGTTGACAAGACATACATGGCCATTGACTGGGATGACTTCAATTTTTAAAGCAAATCTTCACTTGGTTTCACTCTGTTCCTTGCTTTTGTTGGGAGAATAAGTGAGAAGGAAAAAAAAATGCATCTTTGTTAAGCTTCAGCACAGCATGTCCGAGGAGGAGCAAGACTTCTGAAGGCAAGCTGTCTGCTTCTTCCCTCTCCCTTCGCAGGAGACATTAATGAATAACGAGGTCTCCCCGACTTCTAAGCATTTGGTTATTTATGGGTTTGTACTGTCCTGGATCCACCTTGTCCCAGAGGAATGGGAGAGTTTATTTAATTGTTTGCACTTGGGTCTGTGAAACAGGATTAGCTTCATCTCTAGCAATTGGATCCAAAGTTCAGGCCTTCAGACAAAGACAGGCAGTGGCTAATTATTAATTTCCTTTCAGCTGGAATATCTAGATCTGGTGGCAGGGCTGGACACGTGCAACAACAATTATTATTTTTCTTCCTTAGGAAAATGAGTGAGGCTGTAACACATGCCTGAATAATGCCAAACAACTGAGCTAACATGTTTGAAGTACCTATCAGCATGGCCAGCAGAATGATGGGGCATTGGGTTTGACCAGCTGACCAAGTGAAAAGGCAAATTAAAAAAAAAAAGCATGCACATCAAATCCAATCATAGTTTTTTAAGGTGTCTTGCGAACAAATCAGCTGGAAAATTTCATTATCATTTAATTCTGCATAGAACAGAAAAAAATTGTTTTCAAGTAATATAAACCCTTTAATATCTTTGTTTTAATGCACATCATTCTCAAGAGAAAAATGTTTTTAAAATGTACCATGAAATAAGTTTCTTCAGAGAATTTCAAAAAGTGAAATGTTTTGCAGTTTTCAAAATTTTTAAAAAAAGGTGCTGGAAAACGCAGAATCACAATGTTTTAATCATCTAATTTTTGGGAGCAGTAAGGTGTCTTTTACTCTGATTTAATACTGTGATCATATTTAAACTTCTAATTTCTTTGACAAATCTATTTTTTCTCCGAAAAAACCACTAACCCTTAGATCAATTGTCAGCACCCTTTTCGTGTTCTAGGCTCAGACAAATAACTTTGATTATTGTGGTTTTTTCCAGCTCCATCTAGCATTGAGGAGGCTCCTTCCCCTTCTGGTAAGGCAATACTCCTTAACCTGCTAAGTGTCTAAGTGATTATCCAGCGCTTTAATTTGAATCTGCAAGATTGGTAAAATGTGCTGAAGAGAGAAAGTCCAGTAGACTTCTGGTGCTTGATCTCGCTTACCAAGTCTAGCAAGATACAGCTGTCCCAGAGAGGGAAAAATATCTCCACCGCTAAGCGAGACATAGACTGCAGAAAGAACACTGAAGTGCCAGTGGTCACTAGTCCATAAAGATACTCACCATTACGGGCATCATAAAAATCAGTAAAAACCAAGGAACACAGAAACCCTTCGGTTCTGGGAGTGAAGGCCTTTGTAAATTACCTTGGTATAAACGAACAACCACATCAAGAGATCTGGGGGGTCCTTTTGGGTAAATGAGATAATAAATATTAAAAAAATACATGATTAATGACTCCACGTAAGCTCTTCTGGGAAAACTAAAGTAGATCTCATCCAAAGGCGATTCCGCAATATAGTGCAGATGCTAATGTCTGGGTTTAATCATTACAGAGAAGTAACTACATTGGGGTCCTTTGTAAACACTTCTGGAGTGAATGCAAAGCAGAAGGGCTGTCCAGTTCGGACGTGCCATCCTCAGTGAATCCTCCCATAAAAATCCTGCTTGTAAGCCATATTGTTCTCATTAGCTGTACAAAATCTTAAGTTGGTATCAAATCTGTAACATCTTGTCATATAAAAATCAACAGCAGCAATTTGTGTTTTACTCAGTGTTGCTGAAAGATATAATCCATTACATAACAATAATTATATTACAGGTAACGTAGTAAGTTCCGCCACAATACAATGTTACAGCCAGATTAAGCAGCAATAAACTCAAATAGAAACTGAGGAAGAGAAACGTTCCAGAGTTTTATCTCATAGCCATACAGAAAAAAATCAGCTCTGTACTTCATGAGCAATAAACAACATGAAACATTACAGGACATGTCCTTTTTAGACCTAAGATAGCTCCTCTAGCTGGTTTAAAGGTTTTTAAAAAACTTTAAATTCAAGATGGTCTCCTGAGCCTTCAGTGACAGAGCACCACATTATAACATTATAAAAGCAAACAGAACAGGAGCTAGAATATCTCTGTTACCTTCCACAAGAAATAAGAAATTACCAAGGGTCAAACTTTTTAATGCAGTAGAAATGGAAGTTTCTCAAAACCAAAAGGTAAGTAGGCTGTATTTAAAGGAGTTAATTGTATATATGTTTGACTCAGCTGAAAACTTTCTGGCAACTTTTCCTCAATATAAACGATTTCTTACCATGAAAATGTATTTTTATTGGGGGGGGGGGGACGAAGGAGAGCAAACTGAATCACACACTTCAGACAGCTAAGGTTCTTGTACTGCTGGATTCTGGGGGGCTTGGGGATGGGGCAAAGAACACAAGCCTAACTTATGAAACATAATTTTTTGAAAAAAAAGGAAAAAAATATTTCCTGTTGTCAACTTCTTCTAAAGAAAACCATCAGCCACAGCTCCCATTTTTATTCGTTTTCAGCAATTTCTTAAGAAAGGGGGGAAGAAAATCTGTTTTGTATTAGTTGTTATTTTGGAAGGGACTTGGAAAAGTTAAATGACCTGCTGAGAACAAAGACACTGTATGCAGAAATAGTTCTCACACTTTGCAGTCATCATAACCAGAGCAGCAGGTATTTATTATTTTTATATAAAACAGAAACAGTTTTGATCTGTTTCACTTCTGCTTTGTTTCTGTTTATTTGCTGGATTGATTATTTTTCCTCATTATTTTAAAGAGCCTAATTTTACTGTCACTCTGGTTTTCCCGTGAGACTCCTCCCGGGTCAATCAAAACTTGCTTTAAATTTTTTTCTGGGAAAAATAAAAATGCCTCAGCCTGGAAGAAGTCACAAGAGGCCCAGAGACTTGCTATAATCCTACGTTTATTTCAAAGCTTTACTGAGGACTACCCAATGTGTACTTGCTCTTTACACGTTAATACCACATACTCCTTCTAGAAAGAGGGGGAGGAAACACCTCTACTAGTGATAAGTTAACAGCAGCAACATCCTGAAAGCTGACCCCACAGCAACAGGAACAGCCTAAGAATTGGTATAGAAAACAACATACAGCCTGATCTCCCCACAGAAGGACTTGGACCTAAACACTTACAGGAAAAATTTCTCTACGGCTTAAGTCAGGTGTTCAAAACCTTTTTTTACTTGTGTACTACATCCAGCACGGGTCGCAGGTACCACCTGTGCCAAGGCTACCTGCACCCTGCGTCCGCGCTGTGGCTTACGTACCAGCAGTGGTACGGAGTGCTGCTACCACCTAAGTGTCCGTGGGCTAGAATTTTTAATACTTATTACCACTATTTACAGACTCTTAATCACAATGCCTACCTTAGGCCCTGAGCAGGTAGAATGATAATGTATTTTATACTCTTTTAGCTGTTGTTGTTTTGTCAGGATGTTAAACAAGTATTCTCAGTCATCCAGAAAAGGAAGTTGTGCTGAGTGTCTGTGCCTTTTCTACGAAGGAGAAAAAATGATTTGTCACAGTACCTTGAGACTGGGTTTTCTGGATGGTGCACACACACATACAAAAAGGAGAATTTTGAAAATAAGCCAAAATCCACATGATTTTACAAACAATCTTCCAGCAATACATTCATGTAAAATACATCACACAGACTTCAAGCACACTTCTTGTCAAGCCACCAGTTACACGCTGACTTTCTTTTTTTTAATTTTCCAGGACACAGTCAGATCTCCTCCAGAAGCCCTGCTGACACGCCGTGCCTGGCTATGCTTCCCTTCTCTTTCCACCTCCTGGTCACACTGGGGGTTTGGCACCTGTAACTGGGGAAGCCAGACTTCTTTTTGGGAAGTTCTCCTCACCAGAGGACCTCGCAGGGCAGAACAGCTCTGTAGGCTTAGCGTGACGACTGTTCCAGAGCCACGTGAAAGAAACACCAACAGCTGAAAACAGGCCTGTCACTAGGGGATTATGTCCCACATTTTGGTATTCCACAAGACCAAAGGCAGTAAAGCTCAGAGGTGGCAAGTCTGCTTTTTCATGTGTTTCCTCGAGCCCAGATTCAATGCTGCTGGTATGAACATTTTATTTTGGATTTTGTGGTTTTGCTTTAATGACAGGTTAAGAGACTCACAAAACTACAAGGCCACATTAAAGTTGACCATAGTGAGATCTTTTGCCCAAGATCTCATCTGCTGTCCTTCAAGAGAACTGAAAGGAGGAGAAGCGGTAATTACCCTCCGTGTCACATAAAAACTGGAAGTAGTAAGATGCTTGCATTTTGTGAAATGTAAGGATGGAAAACTTGTGAAACTTGAGCCTGTGGAACTTTAGCTTCTATTTTTACTCTCAAGCGTCATGGGCTTTCAGTAACAACTTTTTTCCACGAGAAATGTAGTACTTCTTCAGCGGAAGGGTGAAGTTGACAAAGAAAGATGATGGAAGTTCATAAAACATCAACATAGAGGAAGGAAGTGATGTATTATTACAAAATCCACTTCTAAATAAGCCAAAAGCTTTAGAAGGCTGAATTCAGTATTTTATTTTTTTGTCATGAAACACAGCATGGTAAATGTGATCACCACGCAAAAGCTGCATTCTTGAGCTAGAACTGTGCGATAAGAAATTGTTACTGTGACAACGTTACTTCTTCAAAATTATACCTTTGGAGGAAAAAAGAACTAAAAACTGGTCAGAATAATTGTAACTGATACCTGTGCAAATTAAATTGGTTTACTTCTGGAAATGTTCAGTGCAGGTAGCATAGACGTCCTGTGTAAAACTAAGACTGAAAGCATCCTGTACACCAACGATATCAAGAAAGCACAGAAGTTTCCTTTCAGGGCAGAGCTGCTGCAGCCACCCTGTTGCGGAACTGGGAAGCGCCCGGAGAACCACTCACCCGGGCTGGTGAGCGGCGGTGACTGTAGCGCACTCCTGGCCGAGCCCTCGAGCAGGAGGAAGTGACTCATAAGGACACGCACAAAGTAATTTTGATTTGGAGCACTTCCACTCTCTTTCCAGAGGAAAGACAGGATTGTTCTTGCAAGGAGGGCAACAGAATAAAATAGAGCTTAAAATGGTATCCATTGAGGTAAAGGAGATCGTTACCTTGGACTTTCTTAACACAGGGCCCTTTCCCCACGGTGGGGAAGAAAGACAAAGTCCCGTGCACAGCCTGTGCTGCTGCTGCAGTGAAGCGCAGTTGGTACTGGGGCTACCCTGGGTACAGGGCAGCTTAGCCTAGCAGCTAGGGTTCCACTTCGCAGAAAGATTTGAACATAAGAATTGTACATACTGTGACTGTCCTCTTGTGTCCTACCCTCCAGGTGTTCGTCTCAGACTCCACGGATTTTTCAAAACAACAGTTGATTAAAAATAAAAACTTAAAAAAAACAACCCTGATGAGAGCAATTTCTTGGTCTCTAAGAGTTCTTTATTTGTATTCCAGTTGTTCCTACAGTTAGCTAGGCTCCCTGTGCAATCAGAAAGTCCAAAAACTGGAATTGTACAGGTCTACCAGTCCCAAAAGTCTGAACTGCTTGTCCTCATCTCCAGGACCATGTGACTTCTAAAAATCTAACAGCCACTTAAGCAGCCCTCCACTTTTCAAAATGCGTCGAGGCACACGAACAACATCAGCCCCTCCACTCAAAAGTGCAAGCTGTGTCACCGTACAGCTGCAAAAATTTCTTGGGCAAGCAAATGAAAATACTTCAATAGTTTTATGTGGGCAGGAAGGGCTAGAATCATAGAATCATAGAATCACTAAGGTTGGAAAAGACCTCTAAGAAGAGAGCCTCACTGCTGTGGAAAGGGACAGCCCAGCTGTGCATGTAAGAGCGGGCACTGTGCTGGCTGGTGCCTACGAGGAGTGCCGAATTCCCTCGGTCGTCTGCCTCCTTCACCCTCAGAAGT